ATTCTACGAACGAGTGGCCGCCATGATGTCATAGCTTGCCCAGAATGTAGAAGAGAGAGTAGAGTCCCTGAAAGTGGAAAGCTGCAGGACTTGCCGACCAACTTTCGCATCAACAGTTTGCTAGATGTGTTGGCAATCAAAGAATGTAATTCCACCGGAGTGAAGTGTGGAAATTGCGACAAAAAGAGCGTACAGAGTTTGTACTGCTTCCAGTGTTGTGTATTCTGGTGTGACGACTGCATCACCGGGCACAACATAATTCGAGTCAACAAAGAACACCGAGTGTTGGCGCTTAAAGACTTTCAAGATCAAGACATCGAGGAAGTGTTAAAACGACCAGCGTTTTGCCAGCAGAAACACCATGAAAAAGAAGAGTTGAAGTTCTTTTGCAAGGACTGTGGAGTTGCCATTTGCAACGCCTGTGCTTTAACGGATCACGAGGGTCATGCCAAGATGCTTTTGGAAGTAGCTGCAAATGAACGCAAGTTACAAGTGAAAAAAGCGATTGAATTGCAAAAACAAAAAGCGCAACAGAAGAGAAACAAAATCGCTGAACTTGACGAGAACTGTATTCACATTGAAGAACAAGCCGCTGCCGTCAAACGAAAGGTACACAGATTTGCTGAACATTTGATGGCAGTTATCGAAGCTAAGGAGAAGGAAATATTGAACAAAGTGGACATACAAGTTAAAGAATCTCTCGAGCCTCTGCGAACTGAACAGCGCAATCTGGACAAGAACGTAAAGCTTATCGAGACAGGGATTGAAAAAACTGACACACTTTTAAAGCGAAGCACAAGCGCTGAGATTGTACAGTTAGACAAGTCACTGACCACAATGTTTAAGGAAGATGTCAGCGATGTTGGAAACCAAGTAGGTTGTGACCTTGAAGGCTTTCGTCGATTCATTTTCACAGAAAACGAATCAGTAATGGCGAAAACTGTCACTGAAGGAATCGGCGCTTTCCAAACATTTATCAGCAAAACTAGTGCGAATCAGTCAAGTGTCCAAGGAAACGGAACAAGTGAAGCTATCGTCGGTCTTGAAGCACAGTTTGTTTTGACAACAAGAAATGCTGAAGGAGAACAATGTTATGAAGCGCGTGACTCCATAACAGTGGGAATCAAAAATCATCAGGGAGAGGATTGTGTGACGAAAGTGCGAGTCCAAGATAACAAAGATGGCAGCTACAAGATCAGTTACTTCGCTAAAGAAACTGAAAAACGTGACTTGTCAGTGAAGGTAAATGAAGATCACGTTTATGGCAGCCCTTTNAGATGCTAGTTTTGGCCCTCTCTTAAATTTAAACATGTGTATTTTTTTACTTGTGGGAGTCTTTCAATTTAGGCAGTGCTCGGGTAAGAGATTCTCGCCGATATCAAATTTCTTTTCTCTCGTAAGCTCTCGCACGTTTAGAGATGCCCCACACTTGCGTGTCTGGTGTGGGGATCCCAAAGTATGCTTACGGGTCTTTTAAAATGCTAGATTTGGCCCTCCCCCAAATCTACACACGTGTATTTCACTCGTGGAAGTCTGTCGCTTTGGAGAATGCTTGGGATGGAGATAGTCTCCGTACCCTCGCGTTTTTGGTGTGGGAATCCCAAACTACGCTTACCTCGCTTTTTATAGATGTTAGTTTTAGCCCTCTTCTAAATGTCCAGCCTGTATTTCACTTGTGGAAGTCTCTCGATTTGAACAGTGCTTGGGTGGATATTTTTAACCATGTCAGTTTACTTTTCCCTTGTCTTTCCTCGCACGTTTAGCTATGTGGCACTTTCGATCTTTTGGTGTCGGGATCTTAAACTATGCTCACTGGGCTAGATGCTAGTTTTGGCCCTCTCTTAAATTTAAACATGTGTATTTTTTTACTTGTGGGAGTCTTTCAATTTAGGCAGTGCTCGGGTAAGAGATTCTCGCCGATATCAAATTTCTTTTCTCTCGTAAGCTCTCGCACGTTTAGAGATGCCCCACACTTGCGTGTCTGGTGTGGGGATCCCAAAGTATGCTTACGGGTCTTTTAAAATGCTAGATTTGGCCCTCCCCCAAATCTACACACGTGTATTTCACTTGTGGAAGTCTGTCGATTTGGACAGTGCTTAGGTTGGAGATTCTCGTCTATATCAACTTTCTTTTCTCTCGAAAGTTTTCGCGCGTTTAGAGATGCGCCACACTCGCGTTTCAGGTGTAGGGATCCTAACCAATGCTTACCTAACTTTTTAAAGATACTACTTTTAGCCCTCCCCCAAATCTACACACATGTATTTCACTTGTGAAAATCTATCGATTTGAACACTGTTTTTCCATTTCACTGAAAAGCAAAGTCTTCTCGAATTAGTTTAGAGCGTCTGGAACTCTTATATATCGCCCAAAATCCTGGAAATCGACTCAAAGTTTGTCAAAATCACGCTGCACGTAGCCCGGTATCGGCGACTCTAAGCACTGTCCAAATCGATAGATTTCCACAAGTGAAATACACGTGGGTAGATTTGGGGGAGGGCTAAAAGTAGCATCTTTAAAAAGTTAGGTAAGCATTGGTTAGGATCCCTGCACCTAAAACGCGAGTTTGGCGCATCTCTAAATTTAACTTAAGAGAGGAAAGAAAGATGATGTGGGCGAGAATCTCTCACCCCGTTGCCGTGTAGAAAACCTGCTGGACAGCACAATTGCAAGACATTTGAACCAGGTCTTAGTGAAGTATCTAATCAACCGAAGTTCTGTATTATAAAGACGTAACTGGTATATATTATAAGCTTAAAAACTGATTTTGAATTATAAAAGAAAACGGAGGCGATCCATCTATGACCTACTGCCAGAATGGAACCCAGACCACGTCGGTGGGAGCCGAGCCCGGAAACCGTGAACAAGAGAAACGGTCGTACTTCAACGAGGTTTAATTTCAGGCTCGAAGCCAACGTCATTAATTAGTAAGGACTCATAAACACATCAACTACAAAAATAACTATCTCACGCTAAAATATAGACATTCGGTAAACACGCCTAAGAGCCAAGAAACGCCTTGTGGAACCTAAGAACTACACGAACCTCGATCACAAGATGACCACGACATATAAAAATGTAGATAGTTAAAAAAAATGGTTAATATTTCTCACCAAAAATGTAGCAAAATGTTCGTGATGAACCAGCTCGGCTTATCAGCAATTAAAGCATTGTTCTTGTTTTCTGTACCTTTTCATAACCAATTTCTACAATCGTATAATAAGTCAAAGATCTTCTCCAGTACAGCTCTTAGTTCCTGATCTAATGCCTAAAACTACTGAGCGTTTTGAAAATTTTTCGTGCGCTGTGTCTTTTTCCTTGCAATTGTGCTTTTCACTCCCATTCACTCGCTGGTGCGTATTCGCCTTCAAATCTTTAAGCTTTCAAAACTTTCACTATTACATGTATGTTATTATGAGTCCTGCGGTGACTGCTGCTTAAAGAACTTTGCAACCTTGGCCTCAACACAAGCTGCGTAGCCTTCACGATGATAGGCACTGAATGTGTCGGGAGTGAAGAACTGATTAGCCGTGATGTGATGAGGAAACTTTCCAAGCAAACAATCAGAAATGCAGTGCGAGCTGCCGTAATAATGGCAACAGTGACAGCAGCAAAACGTCAGTCTGTTCGCTTCAAGATCGGTTAACTCGGGGCTTTCCCCCCACTTTTTGTGGTCGGGATCATCTAGTTCGACGCCAAAATGTGTCCAAGGTTTTGGTTGCTCGGTTTTCTCTCTCTCTAGTGGTATACTCTCAGATGGGTGTCTGGGTGCTACAAAGAGTATTTCGCCATCACTTAGTTTGTTGTCAGCCTTGTCATAATATTGAACTTTGAACTGGTAACTCCTTGGTCTTTGCTCTGACTTCATTTTCAAAAACTTTACCCTGATGTCTTCGTTGATGTCTCTGCCGCTAGTTCCTTCAAACGAGCAATGGAGCTTCTCTCTCGCCAGATTGAGAGCAGTCAAAAGCGATTCCGCGTACATCTCATCACCAGGGTTACAGGAACCATCAAAGATGACAATTTTCTTCAGCTTTTTGTCAAGTAGTGGAAGCAAGGCGAGGTTCTCGAAATGGCCTCCATCACTGAGTCGCAGTATTGGCGGAGGATGTGTACCAACGTTATTGATGCTTAGAAATCCGCGGATGAAGCGAACAAAGAAGGTATGTCTAATCCACCAACTAAAGAAAAAAAACGCAAATTATATTACATAAGGTATGATGGGCAAAAGAAAAAGAAAAACGTGAGGACTTGGAGCTGACTGGTTCATAGCTAACGGAGCTTATCCCGGTTTCTGTAGTATGAAGCGGCTAGGAGTATTTCTACTCCCCCCTGGACGAGATGCTAGTCCATCGCGGGTCACTCCCTCGCAATTTATTAGGTTTCCCCAACAATTCGCCGGTACCCATTTATACTCCTGGGTGGAGAGAGGCACTGTGAGAGTTCAGTGTCTTGCCCAGGAACACAACACTGTGTCCCCGGCCAGGGTTCGAACCCGGACCGCTCGATCCGGGGACGAACGCACTCACTATGAGGCCACCGCGCCTCCAAAGCGAAGGTCAACGCTATGGTACAGATAAGCGGAATACTTAAGTAGTTTTAAGCAACGATTTTTTTGTATTACTTTGCCTCTAGTGAGTAGAAATGTGTAAGTTAGTGTAAAGATAACGGTCAGTAATCGCTGTTCTGATGGTAGCGGTAATAATTATAACAGTAGTATTGCTGGCAGGTAAAGGTAAAGTCTGCATACGAGTTAAGTGGCTCATCAGGCCGGAGCATATCCCGGTTTCAGCACGACAGCGACTAGGAGTATTTCTACTCCCCCCTGGATGGGATGCTAGTCCATCGTAGGGTTACCCCCAAGCATTAACTTCGCCGGTACCCATTTATACACCTGGGTGGAGAGAGTCACCGTGAGAGTAAAGTGTCTCGCCCAAGGACACAACACAATGTCCACGGCCAGGGCTCGAACCCGGACAGCTCGCTCCGGAGTCGAGCGCACTAACCATGACGCCACCGCGCCTCCTAGTATTGCTGGTAGTGGTTGGTAATGAAGGTGGGGATTGTGGTGTGACAGAAATTGCCGCACTGCTGCCTAAAGTGGTTGTGTTCCTGATGATGGTCATTGCCATGGTGATAGCGATGGTAACTGACGAGCGGTTTTCAGTTGAGTGTTGAAAACCAAAAGCAAAGTAATTATTATTCTGGCCAATCAAAAAGGACACAGCCAATCCAGTGAAACAATCAAAGCTCGAAGTCATTTGCAGCAGAGCAAAGCGCGGGAAAACGTGTATGAGCGAGTCGCAATTGGTTCTGGTTATATTAACTTCTCATTGGTTGAAAAGTGGCACGAGTGTTTTTTTAAACGAATCACTTAATACAAAACCAAAGAAAATGCAATTTACTTTCAACACTTAAGTGAAACCCGATCCAAAATAAGTGGTGACAAAGTTATGATGCATGATCTATTTTGTGCAATTGTAAAGAGTATGGCAATATTGCAATTTATTAAAGTAAACAATGTATTGTAAATGGCGTAAAGTGAAGGTGGCGTACAACTTGAATCCTTAGCAGTGTGTGTTCAATAATATATACAAAAATGATCCGCAATAAAGAGCACCTGAGGAAAAGTTGCCATCTTCCTGGCTCCGTCGACCCCGTCTTTGCCATAGCAAGCCCAGTCAGTAACAAAACAACTACAATGTGAACCAGCACCAAATATTCCACCCAGTGTTTACTGTGTCCCACCCAGTACACAAATGGTAACGCTAGAAGAGGAATTACACAGCAGATCTCAACCAGGGAAGGTAGTACGTACTGCAAGAAAAAAAACACACACATTTGCAGTGTTGATGAGTCAGTGTTTCATATATATATATATTGAAGACAACGTTAGCTGTGACAAAGGTTGTTGATAGTGATACAGTTGAAAGGTTAATCCCGGAGAGGCTCCCATGCAAAAGGACGTTTTATAACCCGTAAAAAGTACGACAAACACCCGTTCTTTTTATAGGAAAGTCCAACCCACGGAAGATGAAAATGACACCTTTAACATACCTGCTTTATCTTTCCAGCTGTGCTCTCTCTTTGGTCTTGACAGTGGCGCTGATCACTTACCATCTCATCTCCCATCCCAATTCCCAGCAAGTTCAACAGGTCCAGCACCATATCCAGTCCATTCTCATAACTCCCCATGTCGTAGCTAACAGCAGCTCCAGATGTCGCCATGGCAGTGGACAACCTCATGTGTTTTGGCTCAAAACGTCGGCTCAATTCAGATGATTTTTCCCAATCACTACCAATAAGTTTGACCCCATTGGGTGAAAATGCAATCAGCTGATGACTTGATTTGGCACCGCTGCTAATCTGCCAGTTGTTGACTGTAATGTTACTTATGAATATGGGTAAAACATCCTTGAGATCGTCAAGATTCAGTTCTTTGTTTGCATCTTCCCCCTTGATAAGATCATATATACCTTCAGCTGGTCTTACACAGTTAGGGAAGACGTCTTGCCATCGGCATCTTGCTGTGTTCTCGAAGAACGCGTCAGACAGTCGATATCTGCAAAAAGGTAAAAAAAAAAAATGTGCTTGTTTCATCCACGCCTTGACAATGAAGGAAAGTCTGCTTGGTCAAGCCATGTAAAAATAACGAGCTGCCATCGCTAGTTCTCTGCTATTCGGGAATGTTTTACATATGTCGTGCTAATTTGAAATACGATGGAAGTGCGCTTTTTATCGAGGATTTCGTTTTCAAGTTCCTCCTCTTTATGCCGGTTTCAGATTCTAGGCGTATCTCAAGCTCAATGATACCACGCCGACTTGACTGCGTATCATTAGTAACCACTCCTGGATATTGTCCTCTTCCCACCCCTTAACGAGATATTTTGCTTACAGCGGTCACTCCTCAACTTTCTAGTTTCAGTCATTACACCTGGAAATGGTATAGAAAGAGGCAGAGAACAACAACATCTTGTCTGACTTTTATCTCAGACTTCTAAGAGTCTCTGGACTGCATTAATCTGACAGCTTACCAAAAACTGTTAAAAAACTGACGTTATATTCTAAGTATAGCGTTAACACAAACCTGTAGTAGATGTTAAACAAAGATTGGTGAAGGGGTCCAATGAATGGGAACAGTATGATAGCAATAGCACAACCAATCAAGATTGGATAGAACACTTCATCTGAGTATGGCAACGCTCCGAACAAATCAGTCTTGAAGACTCTCCAGCTCACAAAAAGTGTGTAGGCATAGAAAAAGAGGAAAATAGCAGCAACGTTACGGACGATGGGAAAGAAAAATGGAAGAAAAAGAAAAACGATGAAAACCAAAACCTTGATCCAGGTTCTTAACGGCCACAGGAAGTCATGTGCAACCCAAGGAAAAAAGGTCAAGGCAAGCACCAGTCCACTGAGGATGGAGAGAAATCGAAACAGGTTTTGCCATTTTATCAAATCTTTTATTCTTGACAGGATAAAGAAAAAAACCCAAAAAGCAAACGTTATCAAAAACAGGGCCACTCGTCTGCCGGGGGGTTGGCAGTCATCATAGAGCTCCAGTATTAGGAATGAAGTCTTGGCACCCACGGTGACTGAGGGAGCACAAGTGCTGTTCTCTCTTAAAATCCCACCAAAAAGAACGTCTACAAACACAGCTATAGGAAATGCATAAGGTAACCACAGGACACATGGCAAAATGATCACAACAAAGATCAAGAGAAGAGTGAAGATAATTGACTGGCAAATCCCCCACCCGGGACTTTGCCAATTGCACATGTACCCAGCATTGTTCCGCATTTTCTCAAAGAATCGTTTTTGCCACACCTCATCAGGAGTTCCTTCTTTTGGACGTTGTTTCCAGTCAAGAAAAGCCGCCCCAGTGTAGCCCCCTCCGGAAACACAGCTCAAATACTCCAGAGGAACGCCATCTTGTAACATTCTACGCAGAGCACCAGAGCAAAATGCAGCAGACCGAATGCCTCCCCCGGAAAATGCAATGCCAGTGGTCTTCTCTGGGTCCGGAGGAATGGACCCACCCTGTTGGATTTCAGAGTTGGGATCCAGACTCTGCTCGAACGGTCGACCATCAATACAACCACTGGGTGTTCCAGGACGGGATGTCTTCTTAACAAGTGGTTCATTAGAAGGGATGAGATCAACAACTATCTCCTCAGGATCGATCTGAACTTCGACAAGAGTACCAGCCATATCTGAAAGTACAAATTAATAATATATCGATTTAGCCAAGCCTAAAACCGGAGCTCTTCAGGGCTGGGTTGTTGAAAGCCCGATTAAGCAAATTACCTAGGATGAGAAAGAATTTTGATTTGAGTTTTGTAACTTTGCGGTGAAGTTTTCTGTTTATATTGTTTGGCCCTTTGTTTTGAGTTTGAATAATCTCAAACTACATTAAAGCAGTGAAAAACATTTTTATACTTCGGTTGACCTTTTCCTGGTTTAGCGTTAACCGGCTTCCGATCAAATCATCTGGCCCTGATTACAATATTAGTTAGCCTTGCTTGAGCCTGCGATCCAATCCAAAACCATAACATTAACCCAGCGCTCAACTTTAAGAAAACATGTGAGCTCGATGAGCACTGAACTTGAGCCCGCAATATTGTCACATGACACTGATCAGTGAAAAGCTTGTTTTGACAGGTGTCAATCGATAACATAGATGTCCAATGTCAAGGATGTAAGCCGTAACCCAAGTCAAATATGGTCAATCAATTTCCTTTGTTTGTGTCCTCTAAACCTCACCGGCAAGCTGAATATCTTTAATATATCAAAAGTTGGCTCTATTCAAGACTAGAGTGCAGAAGTCATAACCTATTTGAGACCAAAGTGGTCAAAATCGACACCCTATTTTTGACCAAAACGACTACAAAACCATACCCTTTGGGACCGCACACACGTATACAGCCCATATAAGGGGGTAACCCCCCCCCCTACCCCAGGAAGTATCCAACAGACTGTTCTAGAAAAATACTCTTTAAGAAAGCACTGTTACTTATGCATATTCCCACAGCATTTTGTTGTTCCCCTGGCAAACTTCCACTTGTGTTTATTAAACTCAATTGAAACACTGAAAAAGGTTTTCATTACTCAAGCTAGCAGCGGACATTACAGCCTTGCCATTACGGAACACACCAGAAGTGAACAATGTAATATTTGTGATAAGGATTGTGATTAGTCGGGTTAATATTGGCCAGGTAAATAGCCACAGAATACTGCATGGGGTTAGCTTTTTTGGAAGTTTCGGAATTTAAATCACGCAATATTATATTTGTATTAATTTAAGACGCAATGAACCATAGCGAAGTATCCATGCCTCTCTGCACGAACGTACGTCTTCTTTAGTTACGCTCCAGTTAGATGACTGTTAAATAAGAGCTGTACCTTTATTTAACAATGTTTATGCAATATTTTTAGGTATACTTCCATGCGACCTTTTTCCAAAATGCCAGTGTCTGTTTTAATTCTGTCCAGTTTCGAAGAAATATCGAAATCTTCCATATTCTAATTGTTCCTTCCCTATTTCTTCGGTTAAGTTATAGAATTATTATTTGTTTTGTTCTAAAACTTTAACTTAATCCCATTCTCTACCCGGAAAAATGACACAAGATTCATGATTTGATTTTTAACGTAACCATGTACGGTAAGCAATAGGTGTCTGTCTGTAAAGAAACAAGGTTTTAGACAGCCGTGAACAACTAATTTAGATTAGCATAGATCTTTATAAATAAACTGTGTTCGCCTCGATCAATACCACTTATTAGAGCACGCAGAATATTACTCCATCAAGACACTAAATGAACAATGTCGTTAACACATAAGACTTACCTTAAGACGATGTTAACAGACTGAGACGCAAATCAAAATGAACGATTCAACGTTCCAACCACGCTTTCTTGAAGAATGATCGAGCGCACGACTAGACTCACGCGCTTTGTCTATCAGACATCGCGTGACAGTGACACAATAAGGCCTGAGCGGGGCGTGATCGGGGCTATTTTGCATATTTCTTTGTTCAACAAATAAAAGCCACTGATTTATTCGGCGCAGTCAGCCATTGAGTCTGACATCCAATTCAACAAACAAATAGTAAAGTATCATCATCACCCCAATGATGATAGTTAATTTTGTATCTGGAAGCGTGCGACGGGATTGTTCATCAAAGTGGCTTGTTAAATACACGATTTTCAACACGTACCTAATCCGTATTTGCTCCTCCCCCTTTCCCAATTGCAACCCCCGGAGCCAACCCGAACCATGACGTTGATATTGACCTAAGATTTCATCAGAAAATAACAGGTCTTTACATGCATCGGGCCTTTTAAGTCGTGGACTCGCGAAGCGTAGGAACGGCTATCGTTCGGGTTCAGAATATGCAGATTTCTCACTAACTAAAATAACAGGTCTTTACATGCATCGGGCCTTTTAAGTCGTGGACTCGCGAAGCGTAGAAACGGCTATCGTTCGGGCTCAGAATATGCAGATTTCTCACTAACTAAGATGTAGACAAATCAATAAAATCATAAATATTGTGCTGCAAGCAGCGGGTTATTTTTCCTTTTTTTTTCGCGACCTGGTTAATCATCTTCAAACCCGTTCAAGCGTATACAGTAAAAATCCGCAAAGAAAAACCTAGAATTTCCGAGGTCAGGCTAACCAGGTTCTTATATTTCAGGGTAGTTTTTCACAATTCAGGCTGATTAGGTTCTTAATAGGTTCTTAAAGATGGTATATATTGCACTTTAGGTCTGTAGCTTTATGGAAAACATATTTCAAGTGAAAATCAAACAAAAAAAATAATGTAAATCAGAGAAAACGTAATATACACAATAACTTTTTGTCAGAAGTTTCTCACACAATAATAATAATAATAATAATAATAATAATAATAATAATAATAATAATAATAATAATAATAATAATAATAATAATAATAAAAGAATTTAGACCATCTAAGTTGGAGTGACTTTTTTTGTATAAGAACCTATTTTTCTTTGCCATGCTGAACAGGTTCTTACATTTTCCAGTATTTAAATGCCAAATTTCAGCCTGTAGGTTCTTAAATCAATAGGTTCTCATATGCGGGTTTTTACCGTAGCAGCTGATCGAAGCAGACCTCTCCAATTTTTACGTTTGCGTCCAATACTTCTTCATAGTTCTTCTTTGATTTTTATTAGTCTCCCAAATAATCCCTCTTCTCTGAAGACAAATAAAAGATAAACCTTGACAAATCCAAGTGTAATTTATCAGTAGTTCTCAGTCACAAGTAGACAGCCAGCACTGGGTAAAACAATGACAACACCTCCTCGAAGTTTCAAGATTTATTTCCACTCTCATTGTGTTAGTACCAACTTGAATCTAAATTGAATAAATTCTTTAAAATGCAATCTCCCCTAGAATGGGCATAAAACAATATCTAACATTCGTTGAGCCCCGCTAAAATGGCTGACCTAAGAGAGTTCTAATGAACCGATAGACGCGAAAGCCTTTAAAAAGCCTCTATAGCGACACAAATACACTTGTTCAGTTAACAGTCTAGTTCCCAGAGTCAGCGCGCAACTGGTCAGCGGTGAAATAACGCTCATCTGCTGCCCATCTGCTACTCTGAAAACAAGAATATCACTTGTAATAAATATACTATACTACATGTCAGTTACACGCTTACAACTGTTGCACAAATAAAAATCTGTAACGTTACAAAAATAATGTGATATAACAACTTCTGCAATTCCACTGTCGTTTTCAGGTCCACTGAGTAGCAGAAGATTTGAAGTTTCCGTTCGTTTCCCATCGATCAGGACTTAAAATCATTTTTCGAATTCTTTGTACAGAGAGCATGAAAATGTCGTAGTTTAAAATAAGGCTATTTAGTTGTAATTTTTATGAACTACCAAGTCACGCAATAAAATAAGTACAAAGCACTTGAGCGCTTAATAAAATGACTGAGGACTCCAAGTTTTGAGGTCAGGCAAGGACAAAAATGGTTGCAAATATGCTTTGTCAGAAAAAAATATATACTCGGTATCCCAATGGGTCCAGTGAGAGGCAAATAGCAAGATAGCTGCTGGTGTTGTCGAAATCTTAAAATTCTACAACTTATTGGACAACACTCTTTATCGTCTTAACGAGACCAATTAAAGAACGTAAGCACTTATCACCCAAAAAGAGAGTGACCGAGCCAATTACACAAAGACTCACACACATAAATACAATACTTTCTGACTACTAGCATCGTGCTGTACTTTGCTACGTTATGTTCCTCAATATTTATCATTACACGGTTGCACTAAAATAATTTATGAGAACTGCAGATTAATTTACTAACTCCCTACCTACGGAGAGTTATCATAATTATAATAAATTAAAGTTAAACTTTTACTGTTGTGGTCCTAACTTAGGATGCTATGAACAAGAATCGCTAGTTCAAAGAGTTTTAAGACGAATAACCCTCGAATAAGAACTCTGCTAACTAGCGAAAAATCGAAGACTCGTTCGTGCAGAGCGAAGTGTTCCGAGGACATTCCGAGAGTCCGCCAAGAATTACCCGAGCTTGACTCCAGTGTCATGAGCCAATAATCTCGTGAATTTTATCCTGTATTCTCGGCACTTGACCAGATGCCTGCTCTGTCAAGCCTCGACCCATACATGCGTACAGTGTGGTAGTTAGCCGAGTCGTTGACGTCTTGAGAGCGCTGTTACCGGCTCCAGCGCTGCCATTATTGGCGTTGAGAAGATTCCACAGCAAGGGAAGAACATAGCGGGAAATAACTTGCGGCTTCCGTGCGTACACGGTGGGTACAATATCTAAACGACACAGAAACAAGCATTGCTATAAATATTTGTACTGGGAAAACGGATCGCAAAGGAAGGGAACATGTTTGCAGTTGATGTCATTACTGCAGTTGCTGTAAAAAGATTGCAAGACTTCTGAGGAGAATTAAGCCCTGACAGACCAATAAATTCTCATAACTGGCAAGGAAAGAAATAAAGAAAGATCGGTTGGGAGAATTGCAGTTTTGATATGAAACAGCAAATCGCGTACCTGCTAACTTATCGACCATGATCGGTTTTACTCGGCTGCTTCCATATTGTGTCGTAGTGCAAAATGGTTGAACGAGGAGAGTGTTGTCTGAGAAAAGACAGTAGAAACAAACAACGTTAGACACAACAAAACTAAATCATTCTTGAAATGAAGTAAATTATCCAGTGTACGAAAAGCGCGGGGACGGTCTCGCGAATCAAATACGGTTTGGATTTGTTCTATCACCTGATTGGCTGGTAAAACGACACCATCCTTCTAATTAGTTAGAACGCACCCACTGGAAAAATCGCTCAAAAACAATGTTGCCTACTATATTTCGCACAAACCTAGCCCAACGGACTATGCCATATTTTGCGCGCTTATCTTTTCGAACAAGCTGTGGAAAACTGCAAATAAACATCCAGAGATGTAAGTACCTTGTAGTTTTCATCCAACGAGGTCAAAGGTGACACAGAATGAAATAATAATAATAAAAAAAAACGTTGAAAACATTGACCAAAGGCAACTAGTCCGCGGAGATTACCTGTACAATCTGAGCATACGGCAATCCACCGTAGGAAAAAAGATGGCGGGTGTACATTTTACCACAATACCTTGCGACCCTAACACAGCCTATAAGGCACAAAGAAAGCCAAATTTTTGCAATGTTTGTCCTTGTATTAGGGACATTGTGTATGCTAGGTTTGAAGATTTTATAGCTCTTCTGTGCGTTTTTATGAACGTTGTTAATGTTTTCGTGCGCTAAGAACTATGGGTAAATGTACCAGTCGCTATCTTTTTTCCTACTGAGGATTACACTTGCACATTTATTATCGTACGAACAAACAACATTAATTTTGTAGCATATGGCCCTATTACTACTGTAAAAGAAGCACCTATATATCTGATCAGCTCATCGAGAGCTTCCTCTGCCGTGGAGAAGATATTCGCGTTCTTGGAAGCGAAGTTCGATGTGAGTGCGGCCACTACAGGGGGTACCAGGGCTCCGGACTGGTTGGCCAAGCAGGGAAGGATCTTGGGGAGGCACTGAAGGGCACGAAGATTAACCTGCCAAACGTCAGAGAACGAACATAAATAAATTGAAACTCTTTGCTTTGACGGTAAAGACTTTATAACAATAAAACCATTTTCCATATGTGTTATCTACTTCTAATTCAGACAATTTGGCGTTGATCAGGTTCGTTCTTCTCAAGACCTCTCCCATTAAATTTGCTGTAAAAATATTAGGAGAAGAAAGAATTCGATCACAAGGAACAATAACGAGCATCAGCTTACTTTACTGTTGGAGTCCTGAAGTCGAGGAATGAAAGCATCGAAAACCTGAAACAAAGAAATGGCGATTAACGTCACGTCACAAGAAATGATAGTAAACCAAAACACAAATTGACCAAAGAAGTAACAAGCCGAAAAGGGACGAGGATGGTTACAGATTTACACGAGCTGTGGGTCTCAATGAACCATACGTGACGTCAAGCGACCCGGTAACTCACTATACCTTAGTAAACTTCGGTCCCAGGCCATCAGGGTTCAACTGCACCAAATCAACAAACTGGTCGACGGCTTGCTGTCGTTCTTTCCAATCATTGGCTTGTAGAGAGTTGACCAGGTTCGGGATCGCCTCCTCATTCTTCAAAAAATAATACCGCATTAGAAACAGGAGCGGTACAACCACAAAGAGATTTTCAGTATCGGATATTCTTGTTAATTTGCACAGGTCACCCACCTGAACTAGTCCATCTCGAACCACAGGCTTACCACTCCGTGACGACTCTCTTGAGCTAAAGGGATCACAACCAAAAAAAATTCGGTTTTTTTCACGCTTTGTCAATAGCATTATTACGCTTTACCTTTCTGGTTCGTGTACATTTTCTTGAATAACGCTCACACAAGAACCTAATTTTGTCCATACGTACTACAATTTGTGTCAATCTCCAGCGGGCCCCAGCAAGTTCCAAAACAGTAAGAAAATTTTTGGAGCTATGCGTACCGGCAAGATGGATTTGTATTCGGTTCCAACTCTCTTGACTATTTCACGCTACTTTTTATGGCTAAATTCCACTCAAACTGACCAGTAACAGAATCACATTTGTTAACAAAAATATTACACTGAAATATATTACATTAAGAAGACGACATGGAGAAACTGCGTTCTGTATAACAAACTTTACAACGAACAAACTACTAAGTGCTAATCATGACTGTTACATGAAGAGTATATCTTGACCGAAACACACGTAAACTTTATATAAATGGCAGCAACGTTATCCTGTATGTACCTAGCATTCGAAGATGGGGAAGCAGCCACAGATCCCCGTACCCCACCGCTTCGGGAGCCCCCACCACCGGATGCCGGCTTCCGCTGCCTGGCGGAAGAGGATAGGTCCGAGGGGGGATCGCCAAGACCCTGTGAAAGAAGAGAGAAAAAACGTTTTATCAAGTCGACTGTCTCTGAAACTAAGATGACTTTAAATGCCACATAGAGATAGCAATGCCTGCCAGAGTGCTATTCGTATGACTTGTCACACAATAAAAACAAGAAAACTGCGTGAAAAGTGAAAGTAAATGTGTAACAGTTGCTCACCTTAGTCCGCAGATTCTCTACAGTGTCACGCACGTTTTTCTGTAGATTGGACGGCACGTGTTTGGACACGAGCTTCTCAAATTCGGGATGGTCGTAAACAATGTGCAGAATCTTGCGTCCGTAGTATCTACGAAAACAAATATGAGCAAAGATGAATTAAAATTCTGACAGTTAGCTGAATAAAAGGGTTTTTAACACCAGTGTACCTGGTCTCTGGCCCTCCATCCGTGACAAACTGAGCAGCAGTGGGTAAGATCTTTTCTGTGACATCTTTTGCTCCACTCATCAAGCGACTCGCTCCCATGCGCTCGGCGAGCAAGCTGAGAAACTGGGCAGTGGTCTTACGAACGGCTACATTGCGATGACTAAAAGTAAATAATAAAACACAATCAGTAAACATTGTGTTCCGCTGCGTGATAGTTAACAAATGGCGTGTTTGTGTGCATGACGTCATACATGCAGGGGGGACAGACCTGGCTCCTCCTGATATCAGCGAGCACAGTACTCGTGTGGGAGTAAGAGAACAGACCATGGCTGTTAAAGCTTTCTCCACATCATCTCTGATAAACCCGCTTGTTTCACCGCCTTTTCCTAGCAGGATTTTTGCAGTGANCCCCCTTCTTCACCCTCTCCGCAACACATCAGGAAATCGCTAATGAGAGGATTTATATTGTAAACCATTTGCTTCTTTTCCAGATTCGGCATAGCCAGTACTCTCAAACTAGAAAAACCTGCTCAATGTAGTGGCAAAGGGGGGACTTTCTAACATTGGGACCAATTTTTCCTGGTCTGGTATCAGAATAATTCCACATTTCTTTTCCTTGTTTTCAACCCTACAGATCATCTGAAGTTGGTTCACGGTTTGCTCCGTGGCAAAGCGGTTTCTTCAGGGAACTAATCGCTTTTTTCTCTCACATAAACACTATATTTTGTGCCTTTCATCACCCAATTTATAAGGCTGGAATGAAATCAGAGCTACGAGACTGGACAATCCTGGATAAAAAATCTTCTTCCTATTGGCAGTTTACTGTACTCACATTGTCCATGTGCTTGCCGAGAGTTGTGTACATGTCTCCAAGACAACAGATACCTGAACGGGAAACTTGTGATCGAAGGTTCTTGACCTGCGAAGTAGGAATTGAATGCAAATCAACAGATCACGGCAAAATTCCCAGTAGAAAGAGCAAAACCGTGAATTCAAAGCTGTATTGTAGCTCACATAGCAAATATTACCATTAAGAGACACATGATGAGTGTGGCACAACGTACCTCTCCTATGATAGCAAGAGTGACTGTGTGTAATTGTGTGATCAATACTTCTGCGTGATGTTTCGCAAGCCGACGGATTCCTTGAATTCCCTCACATTTCACCTCCCTATTTGTATGTAAAAAAAACATGGATTTTAGCGTACATTTATTTCAACTTCAACCCTAAACCTCAGAGTTTTCCCATGCGGTAATGATTATTGCTAACTGCTTTAACTTGCTTGAACTTAAAAGTGTGAAAAAAAATTGCTTTTTTTCTACACTACACTTTTTGATGTATCAGAAGCCAGTCTAGTTTGAGATTGGTTTGCAACAAAATGCAAGTGGAACATTTCCAGAAAGTCCACTCAGGAGGCCAACATCTTTAGCGAGCCTGAGCGCTAAACTCACTCAGGGATATTTTGTTTGTTTGTTTTCACTTACCAGTCTTCAGTGTTTGCCAGATACTTGATTGCTTCTCGCAGAGCACTGTCTGGATTATTGAAGGGCTGCAAATCTTCCAAACCAACTTCCCAGCACTGAGCTGCATTGCTTCCAGTTGATGCAGCATAGTGCCGTCTGATCTCAGATGGATCATCTGTAACAGCATAGCTGGGATCTCGTTCAGATTGTGCCCTGCAAAAATGAAAAGGTGGAGGTATGTTCCAATCCCAGGGAATAAAGAAACTAGACAGTTCCCAGTGCTCCGAGCGTTGAACTTGATTTTCTCTAGCATTATAGCTGCTACTCCCAATTAATACAGCCTCCCACCCTTCCCCAACTCCCAGCATTTATGTTAGATTAATTTGCAATGTGCAGTTCCATTAGAATTTCCACATCTACGCAATGAAAATTCTTCCAAAATAAGGGGAGGGGGTGGTGAGCTCCAAAGCTACCTTTAAGTTAAAGCTGTAGAGAACAGCGGGAGTTTAACTGTCATTCCCAGTAATTATTGAATCACATCAACCTCTATGACATGACCCACAGGTTATGTGTAGCTTGCTTCTGGAAATTTGACATTTTTTAGCAACATTTTAAAAATGATGCTTGGAATATACTTTTAAAACAAAGTTCATTCCATGTCTTCAGTGATGAAATGGTGTCTCCGCAAGCTTGGTTCATGTTATCCAGATAACCTCCAATGGTCTTCCCATGGACAAGCCACACAGGCTTTACACTAACAGAAAGTTTAAACTCAACTTACGAGGAGACAGGCGTTTTCTTCTTAGGTGAACCTCCCACAGGAGGTTTTCTGTTTGACTTAAGTGGCGAACTAGACCCTGTTACAGATAGATCTGGAAAGAATAGAAACAAACGTTACTCAAATTTCTTAAGGCAAATCTAAAGACAGTGATACAATCTCTGGTGTCTTGACTGACCATTGTTTTCTGATGCAGCAGAATTTTCCTTTGCTCTCCTTGACTGATTCCTCTTCAACTCTGCTTCCTTCTCTGCAAGTTTTCTCCGTAATTCCTCTTCTTGCTGTTGTTCCTTTTCTTTCCGTTCTGCCTCTGCTTTAAGAAGCTCTGCTTCCTTCTGCTTCTGTTTCTGTTTCATCCTTTCTCTCATTCTCTCTTTCTGTCTTGCCCGTTCACGCTGTTTCTCTTGTTCGATCTCTTCTAGCTCCTCCTGTTGCTTTAGTAGCCGATCTTTCAACGCCTTCTCCTGTCTCTGCAATTCCTCCTGAAGCTCCTGTTGCTTCTTTCTTTCTAATTCCCGTTCCTTCTCTTTCCTGTCAAGCATCTTTCCAAGTTCTACCTGCTCCTTCATGATTTTTTGCCTCAACCTTGCTTCTTCCTCACGCTGAATTTGTGCTTGTCTCATACGCTCCTTTTCAAACTCCTCCAACCTTTCATGTTCCCTTTGAAGTCGTCCTTCTTCTTCTTGCCTCCTTCTTTCCATCCTCTCCCGTGTTGATTTTGACAGGCTTTTCCTCATGGTTTTTGGTGTCATATCCCTCAGGTTCTGAGAGGTTCCTCTTATTCCTGAGTCGCTATCCTCGTCACTATCTTCCAGGCTGTCAGAGCTCTCTTCACTCTTGAAAGTCGATGTTTCAGTGCTCGTCAATGTTGTTGTTGTGTTAGTTGAGATGTCAGCCTCTTGTGAATCTGATGGAGTTGGATATTCCTCTTCGCTCTCTGTTCCACTTTCTTCTTCTACTACTTCATCTTCTCTAACTTCTTCTTCATCCTCCTCTTCCTCTTCCTCTTCCTCTTCCTCTTCCTCTTCTTCGTCATCATCTTCATCTTCCTCTCCATCATCATCCTCAACCCCTTCATCCGACTCTTCTGTTTCATACTGTAGCTGACTCTTTACTTCATCCTCTGCTTTGTGCTGCTTATCCAATCTTAGAAGCCCTTGCCCCACAACTTCAACTCTTTGCATTCCCAGTATATCATCCTTACTCGACATGCTGCTACCCACTCCTGACGTTTTGCTCTGCTTATCATTATCTTCACGATAATGCACACCATTTTCTAGTGGATAATTATCAGTTGCCTTGCCGTCCCTGGTTCCCAAGAGACCATAACCTGTTACGCCAAGTCCTGGATTATCCAGGTCTGAATGTTTGGTAGGTAAAGGTGTTGGACTTTGAAGTTGCAGTGGAGTTCCTGCCGAGAGTCTTCTGGAATGGATTGGAGTTCTTGCGATACGTGGCTTGCTGTCAAAAGGGGATTCTGGCTTGGTAGGTAGTTTTGACAATCTGCAGAGGAAATGGACCGAGTAACTCAAAGGCAGCTTCTCTTAACCAAGTCAGCACACTTACATGTATTGACTTAGATATTGGTAAGCAAATCTGGGGGGAGGGGGGATGTTGAAGCACAAAAAGTTTGCATCCTGATTGTATATCTCCATAAGGGATTCCAAGCAATAGCAAGCCACACTACCTTCACTTCAGTGTGTTCTATGTTATTTTGTTCAAACATTGCACAATATTATGGGATACCAGGATCCACACTAGCTGACCATTAAGTATTGTCTACATTATAACATCACCTATCTATTTTCAATTTTAGCACAAACTGTACAATAACATTAACTGAAAATGAATACACACCTTGCAGTATTTTCAAACAGTGAGGTGTAAGGAGGTTCATTGTTATTCTCAGAGGGTGAAGGAGTCCGACTTCGTCCATCTTCACCATCAGTGACCACAGAATACATTTTCAGTGCTCGTTTTAAGTCTCCTTGCTTGTGAACTTGGCTAAGGGAGTCTTGGGGTGGAATACTCCCAGTCTGACAAAAAAAAGCAGTGATATAAATACAAATAATCCTTACTGATCCATTGGTCAGTTAAAGCAGGCTAGAAGCAGGATGCACTTTTGATACTACCATTTTACTGTTAGGTTGTAAAGAATAGTCATATCTTACCTTAGTAACAGGCGCCAGCTGAGGAGGGCGTGAAGGCGTCATATCTAGAAAGTCTATCACACCCGGTTGGATTTCACCTTTTTTTGTTTCTCCTACTTCAGGAGCCCTCAGGCCTCGCGTCTTGGATGCAGATCGTGCAAGCTGGGGTTTCATGTGGATGGGTGTTTGAGGAACATCTGCTGGAAAATACATGGCAAGTTCAAGACTTAAAATATACAATTGCTTGCATTATTCGACATTCTTCCATCTTCACTCAGGATTGCAATTCCTGTTTGTCTGCTGAAATACTTATTTCTCATAATGCACATTACAGTCAAACCAAATGAAGCGTACCCCTCAAGATTACATTTAATGAATTGATTAACTGAATATTGAACATGCTGGTCGTTTCAAGAATGCAATAATGAATTGATTATTTGAATATTGAGCTCGCAAGTCATTTCAAAAATCAATATTAAATTGATTTTTTTTTTACATTAAACCCATTAGCCATATTCTTGAAACGACTAGTAAGTTCAATTTTCCCAGTGACTGTAATTAATACACGCTAACAAGCCCTCTAATACAAATAAAGTGCACATAATTTTTCTTTATGACATACAGCCTAGAACAGAATAAACCCTACTACAAAGTCTGGTATCATGGGACTTTGAGATT